ACCTTCCTTTTCTTGGAGCCCAGCCTCCCAGATGATCTGCTCCACCTAAATTCTAGATAGAGTGATATTTTAAACAACAAAGGCAATTAGAAGAAAAAGAAATGTCAGCCTAGACACACTAGAGAAGGCACACTGAAGGAAAGTCTCTTTCCTGACTTTCCTGTTGGGTATCACAGCAGTGTTGCTCCTGACTCACGATGACCCAGTGTGACAGTGCAGAAGGGCCTCCCGAGGTTTTCTTGGCTGCAGAATGTACAGAAGCAGATTGCCGGGTCTCCCTCCTGCGGAGCCCTGGCTGGTTTGACTGCCAACTTTCCCGTCAGCAGCTCAACGCTTAACTGTTTGTGGTACCAAGGCCCCTTACCTTCATCTCTACCTTACCATGGAAACGAAAAATCCATTTTTCTCCATTTTACAACTGAGAGACACAGGCTCAACAAAACGAAAAGGCTCCTTGAATCCTTCAGCTTGCTCTTTTTCTCTCTGTTTCGTATCTGTAGGGTCAAAACCAACCCATAGCTGAAGCTTCACTGGATTTTCAAAGGATCCCTCTGCGAGTGAGTGGCAAAACCAGACCTCCAACACACTGAACTGCCCCAATAATGCATGCATTCATTCTCTATTAATTAAGTCATGGAAATTTTTTTTCTGTGTCATTTTTGTTTAAAAGGTTAAAAAAAAAACAAAACAAACAAACAAAACCCAACACTACAGTTCTTTCTATGTCTTCCACCTCATACCTGGAAATTTTGCCAAAATGCCCAATTTTCTAAACTCCATGATCTGTTTGGCATCATAGGAAGGGGCAGCTGTTCACTGTTAGCGATCTGGAGTAGACGAGATACACGTGGTACTGGACTATAGTTCACCACTCCCAAGCTCTATTCCAAGAGGCAAGTCGCTTAACGAGTTTGAGTCTTTGTTTTCTCATTAATAAAAGGCAGCAATAGCAGCTTCCACTTCGTGGGATGGGCTGTGATGAGTACAAGACAATGAGCACAAGCACCTGGCATATGTTATAAATATTCAACAAACATTAGCTATTGACTTTAGCTAAAGGAAACCAGGAACCGTCACCTAATCCACACGTTACCTGTCTGGCCTGAGCACAACAACAGTCTGTGAGGGGAAACCACACCTTTTCTGAGCTAATAGTTCACACGCTATTTAAAATACAGTCATTTTTAGAATATTCATAGATACATGCAACCACAGTCGATTTTAGAACACTTTTTGCCCCCCACTGTATCCCTAGTTCTGCAGCAAACCATCCAAGCCCTGTGTGGTTGTTACTGGCTGGCATTGAGTTGATTCTGACCCATAATGAGTCTGCTCACAAACTACATGAAACTCTGCTCATTCCTGAGCCAACCCTATAATCGCCACTGTGCTGAGCCCATAGGTGTCATCTATCTGGAAGGCTATATTCTTTGAGCTTTAGAGAAGCTAAGATTTGCAATACATTTTTTTTGAGGGGACACAATTCAATCCATAACACATAATTGTTGTTGTGTACCATAGAGTTGCAACTGACCCATAGCTGACCCTCCCACGGGTTTTCAGAGGGAGTTAATTGCACGGGAGGAGATTGCCCATCCTTCTCCTGCAGAGCACCCTGTGGCCTCAAATTGTGTTCCTTCGGGATTGCAGCGCAGTTTCTTGCCACTAGGCCACCAGAACTCCAACACACACACACACACACACACACACACGATAGAATGGATAGTCATGCTTTGTTTCATTAAGTGGAAACAGATGACAACCTCACCTTTCCTTCTCCGACCTGTTTAATCCAAGTAACTTCCTCTTTCTCTTGAGCATTGCACACTGTTCCTCAGCATTCCTTTTGATGGGCCTCCCATTCCTGAGATTGTAGAGGTGATAATGCAGAAATCTGACCATAATATTTTGTGTGATGTGCTTAGTATTTTCAAAGCACATTCACATGATTTCCTTGTTGACCCTAAAACAACTGTGAGAGGTGGGGAGGGCAGACTTTATCTCTTTGTTAAAGATGAAGAAAGAGAGGCATAAAAGAGAAAATGAGAGTATGCACCATTGCGAAGCAAGTCTTTTTCATATTATCTTGCTTACTCTTCTTAAAACCCTCTAAGTGTCATTGTCTCCATTTCTAGAGGACATGAAACTCGGGAATAAAGCTCTATTATCCAACATCCTGCTAGTAAGTGGTAGAACTAGGACATAAACCTATATTTTTTTCTTCTATAATTATATTTTATTAATTTTCATAAACATTTACAGAGATTTTGGGCTTCCACTCATTCATTGTTGCACTATTCTCTCTACCCTCCTCCCAGTTTGTTCTTGTCCAAATGCCACAGTGCTTGTCAAAGCCAGTTCTGATTAATCTTCTTTGTCAGTGTGTCCTTTGCCATTCCCTATCACTCCTCCCTGAGAGAGACTTCACCCTGAGTCATAAGGAAAAGGGGATGGCGTATTCTCTTAGCTACTTCCTGCTGAAAAGGGACGCTGTGGGTTTCAGGGTGAAGATCTTCTCTCACTACTCTCATAAACCTATATTTATTTTACTCCAAAAGCAGTAAGCTCAACCACAGATCAATCCATTGCTGACTTGCTTAACCTACTCATGGTTAACGTACTATTAAAATCCATTACTCCTGATTCACAGCTCAGGGTGTCATTCACATATTCATCCTTGTGAAGAGTGGGAGGTAAGACCACCTATACTAAACCATTGTATGCTGAACTGCTTTATGTCTGTTTCCATTCCTATTGTTATTTTTATTCAATACAGTTGGGACAGCTCACCATTCTTAGTCTCCCATGAATAGCCACATTACCATCATTTACAATATTGGGTTTTCCAACTAAACGCTCAGGGAATAACAATAATTCTTTACATACATGACTATGTAGATAGATGGATAGTTGTTTTTAGTTGTCATCAAATTGGCTGTCAATTATAGTAAGTAACTCCACACACAACAAAATGTTGACCAGTACCATCCATACTGTCTTCATGATCACGGGTGTCCTCAAGTTTATTGTTGTGGCCACTGTATGTGTTTTGAGGCTATTCCAGTCGGGGGCGGGGGGATGTTGTAAAACTCTATGGGACAATATTCTGCTTAGACTCACAGCGTTTTCATTGGCTAATTTTCAGAAGTAAACCACTGGGGCTTTCTCTGTAATGTGTCTTAGCCTGGAAACTACAGTGACATTGATGCACCGAGATGCACCTGCCGGTACCAGTGGCATAGTTCCAGCATCCTGGTTAAGCAAAAGCCACTCCAGCACTGGCGTACAGGTGATGAATGTACAGTGGTGTTCATATTTTATGGGCATGAACTCGATGCTTCCAGAACATGGCTAATGTTTCTTGCTGGAGAACATTGCTGATTCTCCAGGAAGGAAAAAAGAGTTATCTACCCAAGCACACCCCTCAATTTCACCACCAAGGATATTTCTTTAAATGTAAAGTTGGATGGGAAGAGAAAGAAAAGAAAAAGTATGTTAGAGAATTCATCTTTGTGCTTGGGATCCAGTCCGCAGGAGTCCACATACTCACAGCTGACTTAGAATGTAGGCGCTGGGATAAAAGGTGTGTCCACCATACTGGCCATACTCTGGGGACGGCGTGCTTATATTACTATTTGAGCTGCTTTTACTCGTCCTCATTTTCTGTTTCAAAAGGTGATAATGGTGACAAAGGAGATCCAGGAGAGGCAGGAAAGCACGGCAAGGTGGGACACACGGGACCGAAAGGTGGGTGAAAATGACATGAAATTGACGCTCTGTGGTCAGGGTTGCCTGTCTCTCTCTCCTGACCTTTGCACAGGAAATTAGTAGCTTGCTCAAAGCCCTCATCCCCTGATATGCGTGAAATATATTATGGACATGAATTAACTCAGCACCTAAAAGCTACTGTGAGCTAACCTGTCAACAGGAATTGGACTCGTTTCTCAACCTGGACCCAAAGTGCTGGCTGGGGGTGGGGCATTCTGGGAACTCAGGTAATAGCAGGCTCTGGGAAGGTTTTAAAACACTCTGGATTTAGAAATCGAGCTGTGTTTATAGCCATGGCCACCTTCAGAAGCCACTGCTTAGCAGCTCTTTCTGGCTGGCCCAGACCATAAGGATAAAGATAAAAAGGAACGGCTTTCACACATTTCCTCAAGATTCTTTGATGCCTATAACTCTCTTTTTCTTCCTCCTACAGAGGAGTAAAACAGCAGGGTAAATGATGCATTATTAGAGAAGCAGGAGCAAAGCAGGACAAAAACAAAGGCTGTTTGGAAATGTTTTAATAGCAGAACCAAGAGTCACCTCTTCAAAGTATTACTTTCTGGATTTTGATGTGTAAGCATGTGTCATTGAAGCACTTGAAAATATCCCCTGCCACTTCTATTAGGTGATTGCCCTGGATCATTATTTTTAAAATTTTGAGTAATTTAGAGGAGAGAAAAAGAAGAAAAAGACTCTTCAGGCTTCAATTTGAAAGATGCTGACTCAACTTTTTCTTATTCTATGAGAATATATATCAGCTGCAGGATGATTCTCACCAAAAAGCCCACGGCTTTGTAAGAGGCAAGCATTTTCTAAGTCATTGCAGAAAATAGACAAAATGAGTGTAAATTTTGGAGGAACTCAATGAACCCCAATGCTCTCTGTTAGGAGAATAATTGAGTGAGATCATTACTGACGTCCCCTTGATTACTAGGATCCAAGATAGTATATTTCCTCCCTTGTTTACAAGTGAGTAGCAGCATCAGAACTTGTTTTAAAACAGAGGAGAAATAGAATCCCAAGGTGAAGGAGAAACAAATGTGGAGATTGACAAAATCAGAAAAGAGCACAAAAATGTTTCCACACAGTCCCCTCATCTGACCTCTAGAAGAAATGACCTCTGCTTATTGTCATTCTAAAAACACTGCAACTGTAAGCTCTATAGTGTCATCACGTCCATGATTGAAGTCCTTATCCATGTCTTCATTTTAATACATACATTATCATTCCATTAAAACAGATAACAAAGCACAGGATAGAATATGTCACAGATAGAATACAATTTCTGACATTTCGTTTAAGTGAATATCATCTGTTAGCTACAACATTACGGAGAGGAAGCAGGGAAAACAAGATTTTCAAAATGGCATGTTTGACTTTTCAGGAATTAAAGGTGAAATGGGTGACATAGGAGACCAGGGCAATATTGGCAAGACGGGACCAATTGGCATCAAGGGTAAGCTGCATTATACTCTTCTACAGTAAAAATATAAAGTAAATTGAGCATAGACTTATATTTTAAGGAGGTTTTAAACACAAAAGAAATGTATTTCTTTTAAAAAAATGTAATGTTTTGACTCTTTCTTCTATATGTAAGTAAGTATTGCACCTCGCAAATTTAAAAAAATAATAATAAAAGCTTGCAAAAGAATGAAATGTGAATTATGGATGAAATTAAGTTCTAATAGTCTACATTTAATGACTTCCTGGTTGACTACCAGCAACTCTACAGGAAAATGATAGACTCCTTTTTACTGAGATGTACAGTTTGGGAATCCTGATGGGTGGTAGCTAGGAGTCAGAGCCAACTCAATGGCAATAAGCGGGAGATAGTAATTCAGTGGTGAAAGTCCTGGTGACCACATGGCGCCCTCGTGAGTTATGGTCAGAGGCAACTAGATGGCAACTGTTATTTTGCTGCTGGTTTTGTGATACTTCTATGTATAATTTATTTTAAGGAACTAGAGGCATCCAACTTTTCTACATCCTCAGTAACATTTGTCAATTTCTCTGAGTTGACTCAAACGCATGGTGACTTGTTCTTGTTGTTGTTAGGTACCATGAAGTTGAGTACAACTCATAGCAACCCTATGAACAAAAAATCTGAACTCTGTTCTATGTTGTTCCAGCCTCACAATTTCTGACATACTTGAACCCAGGGTGTTCCTCTTTCACTGGCCCTCTGCCTTTCCAAGGATAATACTCCTCTCCAAGGATTAGAGTTGTGACACTGGTTAACAGTGTTGAATATCCTATTGACTGTCAAAATAAGAAATGGGTATGTCTTGGAAGAGATGTGACCAGAGTGCTCCATGAAAGCAAAGATGGTGAAGCTTCATCTCTCATACTTTGGACATGTTGCTAGGAGAAGCTAATCCTTGGAAAGGGATATCATACTTGGAAAGGTAGTGAGTCAATGAAAAAGAAGACCCTCAATGAAGTGGATTAACATGGTGACTGCAGCAATGGGCTCAAGTGTATTAGAAATGATGAGGATAACACAAGATAGCATAGGATAGGATAGGATAGGATAGGATAGGATAGGATAGGATAGGATAGGATAGGATAGGATTAAAATCTGGTTTTCATAGGATTGCTATGAGTTATACTGGACTCAATGGAACCTAACAACAAGATGCCCAAATCATGTGATATGAAGCTTTGTCATCTTTGCCTCCAAGGAGTACTCTGGCTGCACTTTCTCTATGACATATCTGTTTGTTCTTTTGGCAGTCCCAGGGGTATTCTGTACTCTTCTCCAATGCCACAGTTCAAAGGCATCAATCCTTTTTCTGTCAACCTTATTAACTGTCCAGCTCTTAGTAGCATAGGAAGTAATTGAAAAGATCCTGTCCTGAATCAGGTGCAACTTAGTCCTCAAACTAACATCATTGCTCCTCAATAATTTGGAGCGGTACTACTGCTACCAAGTGTGCTGATTGTAGATCTAAGTAAGACTCACTGTTTCAATCTTTTCTCCATGTATCATGATGTTGCCTACCAGTCTAGTGGTGAGAATTTATGTTTTCTTGACACTGAGATGCAATCCATAGTAAAGGCTGTATTCTTTGGTCTTTTGGAACAACTACTTTAAGTCCTCCTCACTTTCAGGAAGCAAGATTGTGTCATCTGTATAACATAGCTTATTGATAAGTAGTCTTCAGATTCAGTTCCATATTCTTCTTCATAGAATTCAGCTTCTAGAATAACGTGCTCAGCATACAAAGTGAATGGGTGTGGAGAGAGAATATAATGCTGATGAACTCCTTTCTTAATCTTCAACCATGTAGTGCTCCCTTGAACTATTCACATAACAGCCTCTTGGTCTAGGTATAGATTTCCCATGAGCCCTATTAAGTGTTCTAGGATTCCAATTTTTATCAATGTTAGCCATAATTTCTAATGATTCACACATTTAAATTTCTTTGCATAGTCAATAAAGCACAAATAGACATTTTTCTGGTATCCTTTGCTTTCATTTAAGATCCATCTGATATCAGCAATGATGTCCCCGGTGGAATGCCTCTTCTAAATTCAGCTTGAACCTCTCTTATTTCTCTATACTCTGCCTTCACCATTTTAAAATCATATTCAGCAGTATTTTGTTTGCATGCAATATTAATGCTATTGTTCAATAATTTCCACATTTTGTTGGATCACCTTTATTGGAAATGGAAACAAATAAGAATCTCTCCCAGTCAGTTAGCCAGGCAGCTGTCCTCCAAATTTCCTGGTATAAACTGGTGAGAACATCCAGGGATGCATCTGTAGCAGAAACATTGATATCCCATCAATTCTTGGGGCCTTACTTTTTTCTAATGCATTCCGTGCAGCTTGAACTTAATCCTTCCTTACTATTGGCTCTTGATCCTATGGTACAGTGATTGTATGTATTCCTTCCATCTTCTTTTGATATTTCCTGGATCATTCAAGATTTTCCCCATAGCATCCTTCAATATTGAGACTTGAGGCTTGAATTTGTTTTTTCCTTCTTTCAACCTGAGAAATTCTGAGTGAGTTCTTCCTTTCTTGTTCTCCATTTCCAGTTCTCTACACATTCCAATACTTAGAGTGACTATTATAATATATAATGACTGTTGTTATTGTTGTTGTGTACTATAGAGTCAGAACCGACCCATAGCTGAGCCTCCAGCAGGTGTTCAGAGGCAGTTAATCAAACTGGAGAAGATTGCCCATCTTTCTCCCACAGATCAGCTGGTGGCTTCAAACTGTGTGCCTTCGGCCTTGCAGCGCAGCTTCGTGCCACTAGGTCACCAGAGCTCCCATATGATTTCTATTGTTGTTGTTGATTGCCTTCAATTGGAGCACAACTCATAGCAACCCTCTGAACAAAAGGCCTGAAGCCTCTCTACAACTATTGACATCTATCAAAGTTCATAATTTCCAGAGTCATGTTGTTTAGGAAGTGGATACCACTCTTGCTTCTAAATATGACTATTGCAGGTAAAATATGTGGCTTTAATTCATATTTACGTAAAAATTAACAAGATTGTATTTTTTGTTTTGCCTGTTGATTAATTTTCATATTTGGTATATCGGTCAAACTGCAATCTTTCAAGTGAAGATCTGTTCATCTTAGAATGTAGATATTCATTTTAATAATGACTTTTCTAATGATAATTTTCTTTTCCTTACAATGGATCCCACAGATTGTATAAACCTTAGAGTAAACACATAATGGTCTTCTCCTAGGACGGTATCAACTTCACTCAACCTTTGGATAAAGGGATGGAAAATGTAGCCAGAAACTGCAGTGCCACAGCTCAAGATTTCTGACATGAAATCACATCATATGAGGTTCAGATTCCAAGTATTGCTAAAGATGACAATAAAATTGGCAAAGGATAGAGCAGGGTTTAGGGCTGTTGTACATAGGGTCACTATGCACTAGAGGTGACTTGACAGCACACGACAACAGTCAACATTTACTAAAAATCAGAGAAGAGAGGGCAAAGGGGCAAGGAAGCTTAGAGAACCAGAAACGAAGAATGGAGGAAATAAGAATGTTGACACACTGTGAAATGTGTAACCAATGTTACCGGGGAAATTGTGCAGAAAGTCTTAAACTGGTATCCTACCTTTGCTGTGTCAATGTCCACTGAAAGCACACTTACTGCTCTTGTTACTTGTGAACGAGTCACTTGCAACTCATGGTGACCTGATGCACAGCAGAAGAAGACATTATGCACCTGAGCCATGTTAACATGCACCATCATTGCAGACACTATGTCAATCCATCGTGTTGAGAGTCGTCCTTTTTTTTTGCTGACATTCTATTTAACCAGATATGATGATGTCTGTTTCCCGGCACTGGCCCTTCCTGATAAAATGTACAGAGTAGTTGAGATGAGGTCTCATCACATTCTTCCAAAACAGATTTATTTGTTTGTTCTTTGGCACCAGGAAACATTTTAAATAAAGCATTAGGAGAGTAGTAGATGATTGAGGAAAATTAACGGGTGAAATTTTAGTATGATGGCCTGAACTTAAAGGAGACAAACACCCAGGACAGTGAAACACTTAACAGCAGAGTTAACTGTCCTTATCGCCTTCAGGCCAGGGCGTCTTTCAAGGGTCAGGTCAAATATGATCTACTCCAGCACCTCTCCTGCAGGTCTGTCACTGTACTCATTATCATGGCTGATTAGCTTGTCTGCTTCCCCGACAGGCTGTGAACATCTAGAGATAACTAATAAGTGAAAGATACAATGGATCTGTTTGTTTAAATAAACATTATATGTCCCTTTCCCATTTATCCTGAATGCTAAGTTTTATTATAAAAAGTTTGGGTGAATTAAGGGTGATGAATGAATGATCAAACACATTATTTTCCTAGAGTGTGAACTCCTTTTTCACCTTTTTTCCCTGTAAATTCCATTTTCCTGTAACATCACTTTTCACCATTGGCTACTAAGCTTGCTTTCTTCAGAGATGTGCCAACAAAATTTATAAGCATGTCATGGAATTTTAAAAAAATGGAGACACTATGTTCCGGCTCACCTGGATTAATTTCACTTTTAATCTGTGCTTTGAAATTTACTGTCCTGATTTTGTCAACAGTCCTTCTAAACTTTCCATTGATTCAGATTAATCTCAACTTCCTAGCCTGACCTTAGTGTTGTCACTTGCATGAATAAAGTAGCTTTCTAGATGTCAATATCTCATTTTAGGAATAAGAAAGAAGAATGATTTAATACAGGCAAATTCAATCTCATAGCAAAATAAATGGTTTTACTTAAGGTCAATAATACTTTTACACTGAAAGCATTAAGGTTTTCTTTCATTTGTTTGTTTGAATGCATGGTCTAATTCCTCAACCTTAAGACAGTCTGACCAACATGGTCCCACTCATATACCAAAATAAGTTTTTGTAAATGACTTTAAACAAGAATTGATTTCAAAGAATAGGTTTTCGAAGCTTAAGCCTTCTACAGGCTGGTTAAAAAACTTTGTCAGCCTCCCTCATTATAAGTTTGATACAGGAAATAGAAACTAAGATTGGTTGGTCATCTTCTATCAGCTGAGCATTAGGGTAACATCTTGGAGTCATAACATTACCTAATTTACCATCCTTAAGAGTTATATTATATTACTTTTATTTCCGTTTCTAAATGAAAAAAACAGAGCCTTTAGGAATTAAGTGACTTGACTCAATTTAGCTAGTAAATGGTAGAGCTAAGATTCAATCCCCTGGTTTTGATGATTTTCTTGACTGGTCACCAAATCACAATGCCTTGACTTTGCTATTTGCAAAAAAAGTTAAAAGCAATTCATGTCAGATGCTGAAAAGTAGACAAAAATGCTTAATGCATTATATAGCTTCAGAAGAAAAGCTGCATGTAAATCAAGAAGGTTCTTCTCACCATGTTAAAATTCCAGTTGGAGATTCAGTTCTTTCATGAGTCTCTACTATAATTTATGACCATCTTTTCCTTCTCTCAGTGCTTATCATGCATTTTCTTTATTTCTTTGTTACCTTATGACAATGTTACATCTTTTTGGAGAAGCATCTATTTTCCATACTGTTTACACCACTTTACAATTCTACCAGCAGGGTTTGAGAGTATCAGTCTCTCTTTCAAAATGGTAATCTTTCGAGAAGAAAACTATTTTTTCTCTTGTGAAGCTGCTGATTGATCCAAACCATCAGTCTTTCTGTTAGCAGCCAACTACAAATCACTACACCACCAGGAATCCTAAGAACAAGAATGGAAGAGAAAAAAAAAACACAACAATAAACAAACATACGCCTACTATGATTACATTCATTCCGGCTTGAGGCAAACGCCCATCAGGGTTCCAAGGCTGTAAATTTTAATAGGAGAAGACTGCCTAAATTCTCTCCTATGGAGAAACCTGTACATTGGAGCATATTCTTCTAGAATTCTCCTAGAAACCTGTATCTAAGTAAACTACAATGAGTTGTAGATTCGTTTCAACCTCTACCATCTGCTCAAATCAGCCCAAGTTATTTATATAAAAGCAAGGGCAATTTGTTGGCTATATTTCTAATGAGACTTAAAAACCTCTTTATCTTTATTATGAATGTTTGTTATCTACTTAAAGGAACTCATTGTCTTATATAATTGTCCTTTTTGCGATTGTTGTTTTTTTCCAGGTGAGAAAGGAGTAAAGGGTATGCCTGGGATTCCTGGAGGAAAAGGCAAAGCAGGTAGGAAGGACCCATTTCCCCCTCTGATTTCAAGCATCACTTTGAATATAATCTCCTCCAAAATAAGCAGTGGTATAGCTACATCTTTAGTGGTAAGGAGTTGCACTGTCAACCCAAAGTCTTGTGATTCGAATATACCAGCTATTCTCCAGGAGAAGGATGAACAATTTCCTCCAGTATGATTTACAACCTCTGAAAATCTGCTGGAGGGTCAGCTATGAGTTGGTTCTGACTCAATAATCCACAACAACAATGAATGATACAGCAACCCTGATGGTATAGTGCCTAACGTATGGGGCTGCTAACTGAAAGGTTAGCAGTTTGAATCTACTGGCCTTTCGGTGGGAGAAAGATGAGCAGTCTCTTCCTGTAACAGAGATACAGTCCATGCAGAAGTAACTGGGAGGAAAGGCTTGCAAGTTTGCTCTTGAAAAACCCTATGGAGCACAAATCCCCTCCAACACACATGGGGTCACCAGGAGTTGAAATAAACTCAACCACAACTGGGGCGGTCACACATAGATTTATTTTTATGTCAAAGCCCAAATCCCCTCAATGTGCTAAACTGGATCTCCCTCGGCCTAGTTTACTAACCCAATGCAAAAAAAGGAAACTTTCCTCTCTATCCACTGGTGACTTTCCAAGCCCTAGGGAATGGACAATGGCACATTCCATCCCATCATGCTTGCTGTGAGGAAGCAAACCCAAGCATATCAGAGCGTAGCTCTCGTTTTACTGGTTCAAGAGAAAAGTACAGAGACCTCGAGCCACAGAGCCAGAGTCAGCATGCTTCACATTCCACGAGCACCTCAGCCAAGCTCTGGCCAGCTGTTGACCAGCAGCAAGCTGAATCAGACCTGGAAAAGTGCCCGTGGTCACACAGCATGATTTTAATAGCCAGAGAGTACTTAGGTTCATTTGTAATAGTATAAATAGGGAAAGAGACAGATTATCTTTGGGGGCTTCAACTGTTTACAGTGGGATACAGTGGAGATTAAATCAAAAGACTCTTTAAGGTCCTTATACTTAACTACAGGGAGCTTTGGTGGGCTAGTGGTAAGAAGCTGGGCTTCAATCTCAAAGGCACAAGGTTTGAATCCATCAACTGCTCCATGGAAGAAGGATAGGTAGTATCTTCCCATGCCGTATAGTGCCTCCCAAAACCTGCTAGAGCGTCAGCCATGGGTTGGTTCTGATTTGATGACACATAGCAACAACGTATTTAACTGTGATTATACCTAAATTAGGCTTCCCTGGGTATATGAGAAGGAGTTCTGGTGTAGGATGTTATGTGTTGTGCCACTAATGAGAAATTTTATTCTGGGAGCAGCAGAAATGCTTCTGGTCTATAAAGTGTATACAATGGTTTGTCATATGTATTCTTCCTTTGGAAAAAATACAATTTAGAACTCGCATTTAACTTATTAAAAATATTTAAAAAGAGTTCGTTTTAATTTCTAAGAAAATATAAGTTAGAAATCTTACTTCATGTAAAAGCTAGGCCCATTCATAGAGAAATACAATTAGACTAGGAGAAGATAGTATTTAAAAGAAAATAAATGCTCTTTTAAAGTGGTTTGCATGTAGTTAATGATAAATTCACAGTTTTATCATTCAAAAGGTACTATCTGTGATTGTGGAAGATACCGAAAAGTGGTTGGACAACTAGACCTCAGTGTTGCTAGACTGAAGACATCCATGAAATTTGTCAAGAATGGTGAGCATACTTTACTATTCTCTGTCCTTTATTCTTCAGTGTCTACAACACTGGATTTCTAGCATTGCTAACAAAAAATATCTTCAACTGGACAACAACTACTGAAATGATGTCAATTTAATGATTTCATGAAATCAATTTAATGATTTCTCCAAATATTAACAATCTGTTTAGACTCCAGACACTTGAGGGTTGCTATGGCACACTAAGGTGTTGGACTGTCAACCATAAGTTTAGTCGTTCAAATGGACGTAGTCTACATCAGATCATCTCTGTGAGTTGGAATCAACTCTACAGCAATGGATGTGGGTATTACATGTGCAAAGTAGCCCTAATGGTGCAGTGGGTTAAGTACTGAACTGCAAATCAATAGGTTAGTGGTTCAAACTCCACAGAAGGAGATAGAACAATCTATTTCCATAGAGATTACACAGCCTTGAAATTGTATGTGGAAGTTCTACTCTGTCTTCTGGGGTCACTGTAAGTTGGGCTCAACTGGACAAGAATTTTTTTAATATGTGTTTCCAGAAAGAAGATAAAGAGGAAAGGGCAAGAGCAGTGCCTTAAGAATGAAAGGAGCAAGTGTCAAAAAAAAGAGTATTTCCTAATACAGAACCATAACAATAATTTATATATTGTTTTTTTAATGTTTTATTTTTATTTTAACGCAAGTATACAGAGAAGTTGGATTTTCATTAATTCATCATTGCACAATTTTCACCCTCCTCCTTCCTTTACCCTCTCCCAGTCTACTTTGCAATGCACCTCTTATTCCAGGTTGTGGTCATACATTTAATACCTTATCATCTATTCCTTTAAAATAGTTTTTCTCCCATATCTGTCCAGTGAGAGTCATCCAGACATCATGCTGAGTGAAATATCTCCGTCACAAAAGGACAAATACGGCGTAACATGACTGTTATGCAGAACCGACATGGAAATTTGAGGGGAGAATAGGAAAAGAGTGGATAGATAATGAGCCTGCACTGGAACAGATGCATTAGAATAGTTCATTCCTTATGCATTCCAAGTACACTGTGATGCCCAGGATTATCTCACTAAATCTTGATAATGAAGACAATTTTAATTATCTTAATGCAGCCTGTATTTTAGCATTTGCCTCTACAAAATTCATTTGTAACCTCAGCATCAAAACTTGTTATACTCCTGTGACCATTTCCAAATGGGAATAGAAGTGAACAGTTAGAGTTTCCCAGTGCATATACACAGAGCTGAGCAAAGTTATACTTGGCCTTGTGTCAGCTCTCATGTGGAGAACATTGCCATTTCCAATCTTGTTAGTGGTTTTTGCTACTTTTCAAAGTTTTGTGGGGTTTGGTTGTGATTTTGCTTTCTAGTTTGTTTGTTTTTTCATAGTCTCAAAAAATAACATTGAAATATGATCTAGTGTTGTTAAATATAAGAAGGTTATGTTGAACCATATGGAGAAAATAAGTATGGTAGATAAACCTCATCCAGGCATGAGTCCTTCTGCTGTTGACCTCAAGTTCACTATTAAACCAACAAGTCATGGTAAATAAACTGTAACCAGAGGCGAACAAGAACCTAATTTTGTATTTCCTCCAGGAGCAAAGGTTCAGTATTGACTAATTTAAGGACTGTCACAACTTTCTAGAACATAACGAAGTAACACATTGTCATTGAGTAGAAACCTATTTATAGAACCATTGGGTTTTCAGAGGCTGTAAACCGTATGGACGGAGACAGCTGCTGGATTTCCACTGCCTGCTTTCGGATCAGTGGAGCAAGCCTACTTACTGGGTCACCAGAGCTCCCTGTTCATTATGAACAACCTGCTGCTAGAGACTTGACTCCAACACATGGCAACCCTCTGTCAGGTTTTGAAGACCTTACCTTTTTGTGATAAGAGACTGCTCATCTTTCTGCTTTGAAGAAGCTGGTGGATGCTAACTACTCAGCTTTCTGTTACATGTTAGACCCCGAGGGCTCCTGGTAGCATACTGTACCACATAGGCTGCTAAGTGAAAGATGGGCAGTTACAATCTTCCAGTCACTCAAGAGAAAGATAGACCACTTTCTATCATTCAGATTTATGCCCTAGAAACTCAGTGGAGGACAGCCAGCTGTGTATCGAAACTGGCCTGGCAGCTGTGAGAATAGGACAACAAATAACAAGAATCAACTTTAGTTTCTGTGGCATAAATACTAGTAATTTAGATTAAGCTGAACCTTAGATTAACTTTCACAGAGAAAGAGCTAAGACCAGTGGAGCAAGGATATGAATGCAAATTTCTTTGACGTTTCTGTCCACAAGACCTATCAGTAGGAAATGTATGTGTTTCTCTAAGTGTTGCATTTCTCCCAGAGTGGTCACTGTTATTCTTGCTGTGTCCCTACGATAATTAATGGCCAAACCTTTAAAGTAGAAAAAAAACTTTTATATTTTCTTCTGGCACAGTAGGAATGAAAGAACTATTGTAGTTACTGCATTAATTGGTTTCGTTCTGCTGGACTGTCACGTCTTGCAATGCAGCTATATTTGCAGCTCATCTTTGAAAGGACACAGACGCCATCTTGTGTTCATCTATGTCTTGTAAAACAAGAAGCATAGGAGATACTTAACCTCCCTAATTATAGTTAATTACCTCCCTAATGATAGCGTAGTGGGGAGAAGGATGGGCAATCTCCTCCCATGGAATTAACTGCCCCTGAAAACCCTCAGAGGGTCAGCTTTGTGTTGGTTCTGACAGACAGTACACTACAACAACAACAATTATAGCTTTAGTTCTGGCCCATGCCAAAAATACCTTCTTGAAATGACTCAAACTGTCATGAATAAATTAAACTCCAAAGATTTAACATAAAGCGGGGTGGTTTTGACAATTAATGGGCCCAGATTTCTTAGTGGTTTGAATTAACATAATGGGTCATTAAATGAATTTGTAGGGGACAGAAAATAAACCCAAGTTATTGCTATTAAGTCAGAACTGACTCTCCAGTGGGTTTTCAGAGACTGTGAATTACACAGGAGGAGAACGCCCATCTTTCTACCTCAGAGCAGATATTGAACTTTGGGTGGACAGTGCAACACCATACCCACTAAGCCACTAGAACTCCCCAATACAAAGATGCCTTATAGTAAACTCAGGATGATTTTGAGTCCCCAGCTCTGTCCTGAAGCTTCCTCAGAAGCACAGTTTCTTCGTGTTGCCAGGAGGATTGCAGACAATCTCAATCTATGTACTTATTTTCAGCCAAGAGTTAAACCTAAAATATGCAAAGTTCTTCTGTATTATGCATATGCAAGCTTGACAAGATATGATCAATCACTGCTCTGTTCCAGTAACTGAATTAACAGAATGGGGAAAAACATAGTCATTTTCCCCAAGACACTCTCAGTTTATTAATAGAGACTCAGAAGCAAGCGATTTGATTAGAACACGATGATTGTTGTAAAGGAGGAAGCAGAAGGGCAATGGAGAGTCAGGGAAGAGCACACATGAGCCCTCATTTATTTTCCCCAGGAACAATAAAAAGACTTCTAGGAGGCAACCCTTCTACTGCGATCTAAAGGACAAGGGGAAGTTTGCAAGATAGAAAACAAAGGGAGACCTTTCAGGCAGGAAGACATAGAGGTGGGAGAGAGAAAAGCATGTGCATGGTATTACAAAACAGGAAAAGCATAAACTTGGAAGGAGAAAGAAAAGAGAGAATCTGTGTGGACAAGCATAGAAGAAATAGCAATATAAAGGGAGCTCTGGTGGCCTAGTGGCAAGAAGGTGCCCTGCAATCCCGGAGACACGCGGTTCGAATCCACCAGATGCTCTGTTGGAGAAGGCGGGGCAATCTCTTCCTGTACCAGTCAGCTCCGATTTGATGTTACACACAAAAAATAATTTCTCTCTCTCTCTCCATATATATATATTCAATAGAAGCTTCTTCCGGGCAGCCGTGCTGGACATTGAGAAAAAAGGAAAGGCAGGACAACTGTGAAAGTGTGTTCACCATTGGATAGCTAGACATGTTGTTGTTCGGGGCCATCGGGTCACCTGGGACTAAACCAGCACCTCCCTCCCTCATACCAAGGCCTCACAAAGTAGTTGAGTGTTGACTAAGTATTTTTAACCCAGGAATGGCATCTGCTTGTCCTTTCCTGAGATACATAATAATGCTGTTCCTTTCATCCCTCCCTGTAAAGTCATAGCAGGGATTAGGGAGACCGAGGAGAAATTCTACTACATCGTGCAGGAAGAGAAGAGCTACAGAGAGTCTCTGATGCACTGCCGGATCCGGGGAGGAATGCTCGCCATGCCAAAGGATGAAGCTGTCAACACTCTCATCGCAGACTATGTGGCCCAAAGCGGCTTCTTCAGGGTGTTCATCGGGGTCAATGACCTGGAGAGGGAGGGGCAGTACGTTTTCACGGACAACACTCCCCTTCAGAACTACAGCAACTGGCAGGAGGGGGAGCCCAGTGACCCCTACGGCCACGAGGACTGTGTAGAGATGCTGAGCTCGGGCCGGTGGAACGACACCGAGTGTCACCTCACCAGGTACTTCGTCTGTGAGTTTGTCAAGAAGAAAAAGTGACCTTCTTTGCCCAAGCTTCACGTGTTTTGTGTCCCTATGGTGTTCCATTGAGGGTTTTTGTCTTTTTCTGTCTTCTTAATTACACTCAATTTGTTACGGTATGTAAGTCATTTGTCATGGCTTGTAAATGCTAAACTGGAGTTAAGAATCCCCGCTGTTATGTTCTGGTGCAATGCTTTTGAGTGAATAACTACCAGGTTCTATGGATGCTGAGAGAAACTTGGAGTTGCTGTATTTACACAAAACCTGTTGCCTCAATAAAACTTTGTAATTGTATTTTCTCATTGCTTTTGCTTTACCAACTCCCTTGGAGACCTAAGACATTCATGGTCAAACTCAGTGGGTGATGGGACAGCCAGTTGGTGACCATCCGGCTAACCTGATCTTACCCAAAGCCAAGCATACTTCTATTAGTAAAGAAACAGTTAACATGCTTGGCTGCTGTCCAAAAGGTTGAAGGTTCAAGTTTTCCAAGAGGCACCTCAGAAGAAAGACCTTGCCTTTTCTTCAGTTTTGGTTGTGGTGTTTTTGTGTTGTTTTTCATTTACTTATTTTTTTTTTAACTCAGTAATAGCATGCTGTTGGTTTTTGTTGCTGTGTACCATTGAGTTAGAACCAACCTGTAAGTAACCTCTGGCCAGTTTTCAGAGGTAATTAATCAAATAGGAGGAGGTTACTCATCCTTCTCCTGAGGAGCAGCTGGTGGATTCAAACCACGTGCCTTCAGGATTGCAGCTCTGCTTCTTACCACTAGGCCACCAATATCATGCTAGAGCCCATTGTTATACAGGGGATGGACCAAGGTCTCTCATTGAGAGAAAAGCAAAAAAACTCAAAGCTTTTCATTTATGGTGTAGATGAAGAATGTTGAATATAAAGTTTATTATACCAAAATGTTGGTATAAATGGTGAATATGCCAAATATTGAATGTACCAAAAGTTTCAAATGTTTTGCAGAGAGACCAAACAGATATGCCTTGAAGAGAGTGCAGCAAGGCTACTCCTTAGAGGTAAGGATAATAAAACTGTCTCACGTAATTTGAACATGTTGCCTAGAAAATAACTTCATGTTCAAGAAGGTAAGAGGATCAGCCAAAAAGAGAAAAACTATCACCAAAATGGATTGACATCCCAGAGACGTGTGGTTTGAATCCACCAGATGCTCTGCTGGAGAAGGAGGGGCAATCTCTTCCTGTACCAGTCAAATTGGATTTGATGGTACACACACACACACACAATTCTTTAATAAAAATAATAAAACAAAATGTATTGACATAAAATCAACTAGTATAATTTAAAAAAAGAAAAAAATGGTTAAAGGAGCTCTGGTGGCCTAGTGGCAGGAAGCTGCACTGCAATCCCAGAGGTGAGCAGTTTGAATCCACCAGATGCTCTGTTGGAGAAGGAGGGACAATCTCCTCCTGTACCAGTCAGATCCGATTTGACGGTACACACACAAAAATAATTTTTTAAAAAAATCAAACCCTAAAAGAAAAATGTGGTTAAAAAAATGGATTGACGTAGTAAGTATAACAATTAGTGAGATTGTGGTGGAGATTATGTGGACGACACAGGATGGGGCAGGGCTCAGATCTGTTGTTCATTAGGTTGCTATGAGTAGTAGCCTATTTGTAGTGCCTGTAAACAACAGTGACATCAAGTTAGTGTCAACCTTAATGCTCATGGTTTCCAACTCTTAGACCAATCATTCATCAAAGTCACAATCACACTTGAAACATCCCCTTCATTTGCATAAAGAAATGATTCAACCTCAAACTTTTCCATGAGGATCTTTTCCCCTCATGACCTGTTCCAGACCATGTGGAACCCTAGATAATAATTTTGTGCTTCTGATCAACGGACAGGCAACTGTGCTGACTGATTCTTTTTTACGGCTACAAACCTTAATCTCAGTCTCCTATATAGTGACACTCAGAGTTTAGAAAAACAAAAATCTAAAAATTGGGGGGGGGGAATTAATGTGTTCCCACATAACAGCAACAAAAGCCCAGGCAAGAACAGTCATGTCATTATATTGAAATGCAAGGAATATGTCAAGACTAGAATTTTTGACATTCCTAGACCTCGCATTCATTGCGTTAGAAAAAATTTACCTTGAGTTGTAGGTCAACACTCAAAGTAGCTTTCTTTCAGTTGCAACTTAAAAATCAACAGCTCAAGAATATCTTAAGTTGTCCCCTTAAAAAATGCTGTTTTAGTTGTGGTTTATGACATGTGATTAGTCTGTTTAAAATGCTGGCAAAAATGGTTAATAAAATGAGAGAAACAGATCAACAGCATATGTTCACCTTAAACCATCTGTCCACAATTTTACCCATGACAAACTGGTTATGAAATAGGGTTTTAATGAGATTATTTCTGTTAGTTCAATAAAGACTACAAAGTTAGATCCTGGAAGGGCCAGGAAAATTACATAAATAATTAACATGATAAAGGCTAAGATGCTGGTTCCCTAGACACAGCTGCCCCTTCTGAAGGAGCCAATTGCTGTTTATTTCCAGGAAGAATCCAATGTCACTTCTCTTTCTGATGTGTCTCAAAGCCCAAAGCTGAAAGTTTATATCTTCATGTTTTTTAAATACTGGTAATGAATCATCTTTTAATGCAGATTTTAAGGCATATAAAGATTCTGCAAGCCCCAAAACATTACATTTCCCTTCAAATCTGTGAGCAATTCTGACAGCTCGAACTCGATGAGGTGGCGTTTAGGAAACAGAAAATCAAAATCTTCTTTAGTAGCTGATTACATTCAGCTCAATAACAGGAATGTGTTAAAGGCTCATGGTTCGTCAGGTTACAAGACTACTTTCCTTTTGTGTGATTCAAAGTTGATTCCAAATCACAGAGACCTCACATAAGAGAACAGAATTTCCCCACTATGTGGTCTTGGTTGTATTCTTTACAGCAGTAGATTGCTAAGTCTTTCTCTAGTGGAATTGTTAGGTAGTACAAATTGTCACTCGTTTTTCATTACCAGCCAAACACTTAAACACTGTGCCACTACAGTTTCTAATAATGCTCCTTGGAGAATGTTATTATATGGGATATTTTTTAAAGCAAGCTAAATAGATTATAAGATAGGATATTACATGAAAGCCAGTACTACTGAGTAGAATGCCCATCAAGAATATAAACAAGAACCTACTAACATTCAGAGAAAAAGAAAGAGCTAAGGAAAGACGAGGAGGAAATGAAATATGAACATTGACTAGGGTGACCTCTCATTGGAATCAATGGTCTGATTTATTCTAAGCCCTGTAAAACACTGTAAGTACATACTGGAGGCATTATTATTATTATTATTACTATTATTAATTATTATTATCTTAATAATAACTGTAGAACTCTCAATGACTCATCTTGGATGGAAATGCTTCCAAGCTTCGAGTAAAAATATTCTTCCAGCAATTTTGGATGGAAGAAATTGTGAAACCACTACACAATAACTACCACAATAATTTTTCTCTTGAGGCCTAAGAGGCATAGATGGAGACTGTGAATTCTATTCAAAGTCATGTGAAAATTACGATCTGGTCACTAGAAGGAAATACAAGGTGAATAGGAGTCTACCTCTAGCAGAGAAAGTAAGAGTCAAATGGTTTGGTAAGTTGAGACTTGAGAGCAGATACCCAGTGTCAGTAGGATAATGAAGTGAAAAATCAGAAACTCAGGTTTCCAAGCCAGACAACATGGTAGACAATTGCAACAGCTCTAGGTTTGGTGGACAATACAGTTCATGATAGAACATCTAATGTTTTAGTGACACTCTGGCTGGAGATACAGTGGAGAAACCAGATAGGAATTCTTAAGAATTCTCCTTCAAGCCGCATTGTTGAATATCAAGCCCATGGCAACTGAAGGCCCAAGTTACTACCATGTTCGTGGATTGAATATATAAATTTATCCTATTTTTATATCTACTTCCTCTTCAAAATGACAGCTCTAAGGACAGACTGAAATAAATTAAACAGAAGAATCTTTTTTAGAAGCACAATATCACTTTTTAAAAAGAGTAACACTGACAAATCTCTTTAGCATTCTTTAACATTAACATTCTAACTTCAGCTTACTCATTTTTATTTGAACAAGAAGTTCCCATGTCAATACGTGTACTCACCCACACAGTTTTCTCATAAGACAGAATATATCCAATGTATGCTTGTGGTTTTACATGAATACACATTGACAAGTGACAGATGATATTTTGCCTCACTTCTCTCCCCCATAGTGACCTATACCTGACATTCATTGAAACCCAGATTTTCCATCAATTACTTCTTTCCTAATAAAATAAGGAGGGGTGCAGAGAAGGAGGGGAGAAGTGAGTGGATCAGATATTTTCTAGTTTATTAGAATATGAAATCATCACCAGCTAATCAAGGTGTTGGTAACTATAGTCATGAGATTATGCAAAACAATATCCATCCAATTTAAAATCCATATAATGCCTTGACAGGTGTTTTTCACTGTGATAGCCTTTAACGCAACTTTGCTTGCTGAAACGGAAAAAGACCTGAAATACTTGCTGCAAAAGGTCAAGGACTGTAGTGTTCAATATGAATTGAAGCCTAACATCAAGAAGACAAAGATTCTCACCACTGAGCCAATTGGCAGTACCATAATAGAAGGAGAAGAGTTGGTTATAGCTTGCTTAGATCCACAATCAACACTCTTAACACCAGCAGTCAGAAAATCAAAAGACAAATTGCGTTGGGAATATCTGCTGTCCTGAACCTCTCCAGAGTGCTGAAAAGCAACAGTGAAAGTCTAGATACAAAGGTGTACCCTAATCCAGGCTATGGTCTTCTCAATTACTTGTTATGCTTCAGAGAGTTGGACAACGACCAAAGATGACAGTGAAAGAATAGATGCCTTTGAGTTGTGGTGCTGGAGAAGAGTCTTGAACATATCATGGACTGCCAAGAAAACAAATTGGTCTATCTTGGAGAGGGTGAAACAAAGTCTGTCCTTGGAAGCTA